ATGGCATTTGCAAGAATCCACTGGGCCTGGCTTTTTTAAATTTAGAATTTTTTAAATTAGTGCAATAGAATGTACATTGTAAAAAAATAGATTTTTATGGTAAAAAAAAAAAAAAACTAGCAGCTGTGATTGCCAGAACTTAACGGTAAAAGGATATTAGTGTTGAGTTTTAATCCATATTTTATTGTATAAATACAGGTTTTTACCGACAAAAGAAACCATATCCCAAATGAAAATACCATATGAATGCTATGACGGCGATGCTCTGTGCAATTTACAGTCCATAATATAAGAAAACTATCAATACATTACTCCAAAATGCCATATAAAAAAAGCTTTTTCCATGAGATATCACTGTGTTTTACTTTTACAGAAACTTGACAGTTTTTCACTCTCAAATCTACAGACATTTTTTACAGTGTAGGACTGGTATATCGAATATAAAAAATGAATGAGTGAATGGTTTTTACCGATGAGGAGTCTCGCCATTGTGCTCTCTGAAGATCCAACCAAGGGTCTTCTGCAGCGGGGAACCTCTGATTGAGCATAAAACATTCACATCAAACACATGAAGAATAAAAGCAGACATTAGGCAGCTACCACTGCAACAATTATATTTTGAATGAACTATTCAAAAGAAATCCTTACATAAATCAATAATGAAAATAATTCTAAGCTGTAGGCTACTACTAAAAACTGCAATACAATGCAACTATAAAGTTACAACCACTTTGTAAAGTAAAAATATTTTATATTTGCACATGAAGCAACTCGCAGCTAAATGCTAGCTGTAAATGACACAAATCAGAACATGCTGATGGTCTCATTACCTTTCTTCAAGAGGAAGAGGAGCAGAGTGCAGAGCAGGGTGCAGTTGGGTTGATTTATATTTTACTCATTAATGACTAATAGCTGGTGGCAAAGTGCAGCTGATAAGGGCTGAGGGTGGTGGGAGTCTGACTGACTGCTAATAACCCCCTTCCAGGTAAGACTGGACAAAGCCATGAAAGAATATTACACTTGCTGAATCAGTTCAGTTTCTCTATTGATAAGTGATAAGTGTGCATCTGCATGGATTAATACCAGGAAATAGAGATTAGAAATAATAAAATAGCAAAAGGTGGTAAATAGGCGATGCCTAAATGTGGCTGAAATTGAGTTTACAGCTTCCTGCTGGGAATCTGGTTTAGTATCCTGATAATTACAGAACATATGGTTGGATTAAACCCTGTGTGATTAAATAAGTTATTAAATATTCTTGTTAAAGAATATTTTCATAAATGTTTGCTATTTTACACATGGTCAGATGAGCTGATTGGTATCAGTTTCATTGCGCAACCAGTACAGAAAGAAGTCCAGGATCTATTGAACCTAGCTGTGTGGACAGGAATCCTGGTACACAGCATGCAAGACCTTTTTTCACAGCAGCCATTTCCATGTCAAAATGGCTGCTGTGAAAAACGTCTATTAATGTAACTGTTGTTGATTATCAATTAGCTCCAGTGCAACTGATCCTACTATCAAAAACCACATGTTTTTCATTTCTCCACAGTCTGCATAATTTCTAACAGGAAATGTTTGTTTACATCATTTTCTGTTGGAAAATACCAGTGTGTAGTGTTCAGTGGCATCTAGTGGTTAAGTTGCAGATTGCAACCAACTGACTATCACTCACCTTCTAATGAAGGAGAAACTAGAGTGAAACTCGCAGAAAATGTGAAAGCCCCTATCTACAGCCAGTGTTTGGTTTGTCCATTCTGGGCTTCTGTAGAAACATAGGTCAACATGGCAGATTCTTTAGAAGAGGACCCGCTCCCTCTGTAGATAAACAGTTTATTCTAAGGTAACAAAACACACAAAAAAAAAAAACAATTCTTATTTTCAGGTGATTATACACTAATGAATTATACCTATGAATATTATATTTCTGATAATAGATCCTCCTAAATGTTACACACTGGACCTTTAAATGCATTCTATGTAACTTCAATTTTGAAATCTTTATGAATCTGTCTCCCCATCATCCAAAACTTTCTTTCTTTTTGCCTCCATTTTTGCCACGTTTCTAGTGTGAACACAAAATCTTCAAAATGTGCTGAGAATTAGTATGGTACCATTGCTAGTATTTGGCATAACATTCATTGTGGATATTCATGGTCCATGGACCTCTGACCAACACTTTGATCCATGACAAAGAATCTTAAAAACAACTGGTTGAGTTTTTGACTGGCTTATTAATGTCTTTCAGATTTGCAGTGGATATTTACGCTCCCCAGAGGAAAAACTGGATGGATGATTTTGATGACTTCTGAACTTTCCTGTAGTGCTACCAAAGTGGTCCCTTGTGCAGAAACTAACTCATTCATAGGGAGCAATTTGGGTTTTTTTTGCTCAAGGATACTTTGACATGTGGCGGGAGGAGCTGGGGATCGAACCAACAACCTTCTGATTAGTGGAAGACCTGCTCTGCCTCTGAGCCATAGATGTTTGGAAGATGCAGACAATATGAGGTCTGAGGAGACAGTTTATCTTTGAAATACTACTCCATTAATATTAAAACAAGTTCACTAGTTATTATCCCAAATGTTTCCAACAGTGTTCAAACTCAGAGAAATCTGTTATTTTATTCAGGTAACGCTGTGTCTCCCCCGGTCTCCTCTCATAACTAAAATTTTAGCGTTTTAATCAGCGGGTCTGTTTGTTTTGGAGAGGAGGAGACCTCTGTGGATAATTGGGCTCCCAGTAGAAACCTCCTGAACCATCAACACCGAAGGAATCCTAACCAGGAGGAGCTGACTGCAGTGATGGCAATGGTGGTAAAGACAATAACTCCCATGATCCCACACAACCGTTCACAATCTCAGTCATCAAACTTGATCTTTTGTTACTGTTTTGATGCGAAAATCACACAGTCACAGAAGCCTCCGAGCAAAATGTGAGCTGCTGTGATCTACATAGGACACAATTTTAAGTCCACACGTTACTGAAATACAATCCCAAGGTGTTTATTTTAAATCATATTTACAAGTAGCATCCCTCCCACCCCTCCCTCACATTTCCATTCAATCACAATTTTGAAAAGGCCCAAAGGCAACATTATCCGGCCAAGCCATATGAAACACAGACTTGCTGTTACCACGTCAAGTGAGTGATGAGACCATTCCGTCCACCAGTCCATCAACCAGAACATTCAGCGACTGGGCTCCCGGAAACAACCGGTGAAATGACTTTATGGCTTTTCGATGAATACTAAAGGCATTGAGAAACACACTTTGTACAGAGTAAAGCACAAAAACACAAAACCAGGACATCATTCAACATTTCCAAAAGCATTTCCAACTTAGTGGAGAGAGGAAGCAGCTTTGAGGGTCAGTGTAAAACACAGTGGTGGTGATTGAAATTCGGGTCTGGACCAATTTTGTCTTTTAAGGGCTGACACCAATAATCCAGCAAACCCCGAATCAGTGTTTTAAAAAAAAGTTGGAGTACTGAAATGATTGTAGGCCCAGAGGCAGACCACACTAAACTACACCTACACTCATATATTGGTCTTACCCAAATTTAAATTTCAGTTTTTACTAACTAAAGAACATGTGGTCAATAATAATAATCTACAGCTAATAGCCTATAAAGTGAAATTCAGGGTACATGTTTTGACATTTGTGATATTTTGCAGATATTTTTTGCCTAATACATCGATTTTACAGCCAACCTAAGTTGAATGAAAAAGTAAGAGCAACATTTTGGTGTTAAGGATGAAGCACGTGATTAAAAGTCACATTTTCCTGACAAAATAAAGCACATCATTGTACAATCAAGTGGTCCATCATTCAACCACTTGCGAAGTATAAAACACTGAAGTAACACAAACAGGTTTTAGTTGTCCAGACCAATCAAATTTTTTAAACACAACAACAAAAAACAATAAAATACCTTTGGATCTAACAGAAAACAGAGAACCTTCCAACTGAGCTCACAAGCTTGTTCACACACGTTTCTCTGCAGACCCACACTCCAGCTTAAGAAGCAAGTTACAGGCTTTTTCCAGACCTTTCGACCACATGTCAGAGTTTTCCTCGATGGACGGGATGTCATGTTCCACACTTAGGTCACATTATGACAACTGATCCATGTCTGTGACAACTGAGCTAACTAGACACTGAAGAAAACTATGAGGTGTGCCTGAAAGATAGTAAGTGGAGTTATTTTGTTTCCAGGGTCAAGAATGAACTTTCACATTGCACTTTGTTAAGATTTGGGATACACTGAGGTAATGGCAACTAAAATATGCATAATATATAACATAAAGAAGACTGGGGTGTTTTTTGTTGGCAGTTAGAGAAGACCCAGACCATGTATTCCAGTTGTTACTGACTCTTGGACCACAATCTAAACCTGAAGCATCAGTTACTCTTTAATCTTTAGTATCAAACTGGTGACAGCAAACAGTGAAGGTTTGTCCATACTTTCTTCATTCTGTGGACAGATGCGGTCTCGTTGACGCACACATGGTTCCATTCCCACTATGTCTGTCTGGCATCCCACGCATTTGCATGGCATTAAAACAAAGTTTGGTCTGGCTATGCTTGACTCTGTGGGTGTGCAGGTCTGTGTCTGATTGACCGAGGGTTTGGCTGAGCAGCACTGAGGCACGCAAGACAGTGCAGCTTCAGTTGCATTTCCCTCAAAATCTGCACCTTCTGCAGGATTGTGCGGAGGTATGGCCGGTTATTTGTTATTTCTCTGATTAGGAGGACCCTTGTGGACACACAGAAGCAGAAAGTATGAATTGACCTTTAGACAGTTCTGAGCAAAATAAACCAACAAAAGACACAAACTGTGAGCACTTGATGTCTGTCTTTGACATGCTGACCAGACCTGACCTGGACAGGACAACAGGACAACGTCTAGAATGCTGGCAGAATGAGGTCACATCCTTCCTGTAAACTGTAGCAGGTCAGACAGGTTACATAAGAGCTGATAGATGCTGACAAGATTACAATGAGGACAATATATGACACTATTAACTGCCCTTGCTGATAACTTTGTAGAACAACTCTTTCATCTTTAGCAGTGACTTACCCCTGCTGCCCCGGGCACTTCATATCAGGCCGCCAGCATAAAAGCAGCTGCAATAAACCCAAGAGACACTAAACAGAAACATTTTCACATTGTTGTGTAAATTACTTGAAAAATGCAGGCACAACAAATGTAAAAGATAATAATGAAATACTCCTCCATCTGTCCAAGTTCCCCAACATACGACGTAAAAAATAGAAAATGTAACATTAATGTAAACATTAATTTGGACCGGTGACATATTTCTGTAGTTTGCTATAATTACAACAGAGACAAAAACACAAACAAGCTTACAGACGTTAGCAGGCGCTAAAAAGAAACAATATAAAGTTCTTCAGTGCTTCAGTGAGTGACTCCTGTTCTGTGTTCACACTGTGAGCAACGAGAGCAGCAGGCCGGAACAGGTTCAGCTGGGTAGATGCAAGTGTGTGTGTGCAGAGAAAGGCAAAAAGGAAACTGTGGATACAACTGTTCCGTCTTTGAAGCCAAGTAATGCAACCTCCAAATACCATCACAGAAATCTATGACGTTGAGATATTTTGCATGTATACATTCTGTAATTACCCTTTTCCCTGCACAACATCAGTCCCCTGACTCTGTTTGACCTGAATGGAACAGGAAATGTTGGTTTGAAAAACATCAGTAATGCAATAATACTAAACAAATTATACTATGATTATAATATGACTAAGAAAAAAATGTAAAAGTAAGTTACATGAATTGCATTTTATACTCAGTATTCGTATTTTCAATGCAATGTTAACTGCCCTAAACTGTCAACTGCAGTAAAACCTCTGGAATAGAATTTGACTGCTGCCATAGAGAATGACCAAGATCTTCAGTGAAGAACAAACTCATGTTTCCCAGACAGAAAACTGAAGTGCAACTCATCAAAAAGTCGCAGTTCAAGGCAACTTCAATGCCGTCTTAGTGTTATTGCATTATGATATAAAAAACTGGTTTGCCATAAATTTAGTGATGGATTGTAAACACTTGAAATGGAGCAATTAAGTCTTATATAATTCCGACACTGTTGCACAGCATTGTATTTTTTATTTATTTTTTTGCCAAAAATATTTTGCAGTGGTCAGGGGGTACTTGGCTGAGAACATATATCAGTGGGGGTACCTTAATGAAAGAAGTTTGGGAACCACTGTAGTACAGTATCTTTGCTCACTGATTGTGTTCTGAAGTTTGCCCTTTTATTTTTTGCATTTTTATTGTTAACTTGTTTAAATAAAGCTGTGCCATTTGTTTAACCACTGCTGTAATGTGTGTCCACATCTTCTCAGTCAGATGGATTTTGATTATATTCGTCATATAACTATATTTAGAGGATGTTGCTTTCAGGGACTGAAGTGCAGTGAAAACTGATAGCTTTGAGTTTCACTTGTAACAACTGTAATTAATGTTATGTGGATTTATTACCTGACAGAGCTAATGTCAAAATCTTGTACTTAAATCTGTTTTGATTTTTACGGCTGTCACACCACCCACAGTCGGTCAGAGTGCAGGGATTATCAGCCAGGTTGCTCTCAGTGTGAACAAACAGCCATCACATGTAACACTGTACTGTTTGTACACAAGCTATACACACCATCAATTCTATGAATAATTTACACCTGAAGTTTGCGTGTCTCGCCAGCTACAGTTTGAAGGACGCAAGTGTGAGACGCGTCAGCCACAGATGTGATGGTCCCCATAAGGCATGGTTTTACTGACACAAATACATAAACCAAAAAGACCCTATTTGTTTTTATTATTTTAAAAAAGGAAAATACCTCCTTCCTTCCCCGCCCCTCCAATCCCTGCAGTGCTACAACCTTCCCCCCGACCGCTGGAACCCACCCCAACCCAAAACACAGGCTGAGACACAGGACAGCTTCAGTTTCAAGCCATTAAAAGTAAAAAGTCCACAGACAGGCTGAGATCACAGGCCTGACAACGACGCAAGAGTGAGCAGAACCAAGCCAGCGAGGAGGTGTAGGGGGTGATTGGAGAGTGTGGAGGAGGAATCATTCTGCACCATCATACCAGTTCCTGTGGGAGAGAAAGACAGAGAGAGACAGTGAGTGACAGTGTGTGAACTGACTGTAACAGAAATATTTCTGTATCTGATACTCTAAACAAGGTTCAAGTTTGTGCCAGTTCACACATAACTGGGGCTGGGTACTGAACCTCAAAACCTCACAGGATCATCATTACCTAGCTCATACGTTGTTTGCAGTCATGTAAAATTCAGAATGAGGCCTTAAAAAGTGCTATTCCTGGACATAATGATGTCACAGCTGGCCTTTTGGATATAAAAAGGCCTTAACTTCCTTGTTGTATCCCACCAAATGTGTGTGACATTTTTATATAATTACTGCATCGATTCTTGTTGTCGAGTTGTGACCAAAAACGTGTTTTGTCAAGGTCAGTTTGAGGTCACAGTGACCTTTGTCACCAATTCATTGTCTGACCAGTTGTGAAATATGGTCATCATTTCTTTCAAGTATATTTCAAGTTATGGCCAAAAACATGTTTTGTGAGGTGAGGGTCTGTCACAGTGACCTTTGACCTTTGACATGGACACATAAAAAGTAGCAAGTAGCAAAAGGTAGCATCAAATATCTGTTCAGATGATCAAATAGTTCCAGATTAAAATCTAAATTTTGTCAATTGTGTTGCATATGACAATATTTGAAATAGAAAAAGGAGGAGGAAATATAATATATTTCACAAGTATGGAATGAAAAAACGAAAAAATAAATAAATAAATATATATATATAAATTATATATTATACGACTAAATGCTTAAATAAATGAACAACAATGTAACAACAATGTAATTTCATGCTTAATTGTCTCAATAAAAAAAATCACAATTAAATGAGAATTCATTAAATGAAACCAAAGACCCCTGCTGTTGTAAGCCAGGGAGGAGCCTCCACAGTCCAGTGTGAAACAGTACACTGCTTTGCCTCTAGCTGGATTAGCAAAACCGACAATCAACTGGTCACATAAGCACGCACTCTCAGTGTGGTCAGCGTAGGTGTGCACACACACAGGAAGTATTTGGTGGTTACACTGGAAGCACCGAAACATAACTTGCTTAATAAAAAGCTTAACAGAAGCTAAATCGTCATTAGACAATATACAGCCGATGGGTTCCAAGATCGAGGGAATCCTAGCCTGCGAGTGTGTTAGGGGTGTTTGGTCATGGGCTGTGCTGTACACTGCAAATACAGCATTTCCCTTCAGTGTTTCTGTTCATTTAAACTCTACCAGTTGCTGGACAGACCTTTTCTTATCATCAGTGACTAATCCACTCTACAGTATGCTTATTACTCTGAAACATCACTGTCACTCAGAGAAACCTTTGGTGTGTGTGTCCCACCTGAGTCCCGGGACACAATAATCTCGTGTGCCGGGCCGTCCCCGCCCTCTCCCCAGGACCGGATCTCCAACACAACGTAACCATTGTCCTTTGGCAGCGGCAGGCTCACCGATGTCTTCGCCTTGTCCAGAACCTTCAGCGCTGTCTGGCCCTCATGTTTGTACAGAACCTAAAGAAAACAGCAGATCCACAAGTTAATTCAGACATCAACGTTACAACCTGAAAGGAATCTTTACAGTTAGCAGACTAAAACACACTCAGAATAATAAGTGTTGTTGAGATTTGTATTCTGGAATGTCATTGTTTGTGTTGAAACCATTGTAACAGTAGTATCTGTTTGTTCATAGCCATGTTTTGCTCATGTAGCCATTGTAAACATGATCTTTGATTTTGTTATACAGTCTTTTTATTGCTTCTCATATCTCACACACAGTGGAGATTACTAGTATCACGAGCTGACACATCAAAAAGCAAAACATCCACTAGCAGTGAAATTATGTGAAATTCTCAAGTCTTCAGTCTTCTCCCTACAGTCTGACCCGAGTTCAAGTGTCATTGTCTTAAAGGACCAGGGCTCTGTGGCATCTGTGGTGAAGTTGCAGATTGCAACCAACTGAAGCGTGAAGAACTGAAGTACTACGGTAGCTGCAACACTCTCGAATAAATGCAAAAGCCCCTGTCTAGAACCTGTGTTTGGATTGTCTGTTCTTGGCTACTATAGACAGCTCATTCTAAGGTAA